TTTCCTTCATATCTAAACCTTTATTTATACATTTCTGGTCTTCATTATAGCACCCATCTGTGAACCCAAGCCAGAATTAGGAGTCATCCTAAGTCTCCTCTATTTCCCTGTGTTCAGTAAAAACTGCTAGCCTTCCCAGTTAATGCTTCCATGTCTTACATCTTTGCTCATTTCACCTGGTCACCACAGCTTTCTTCAGTCTATTGCCTCTCACAGGACTACTTCAGATCCATATTGGTCCTAGTTCTCGCCCTTAAATCTACCCCTCATCCCAAACCACAGCCTCAACTCTCCCCTTTCAGCTTCCCCTTAGCCCCTTCAGTGGCTCTGCATTTTCTGAAGGAAAAGGTCTAAGCTCATTTGACAGTACTTTCAAGGACCCTTTCCAATTACTTATCCTCTATGTTAAGTTTACATTTCACTTTGTTCATGATTAGACTATCTACTTTTGTAGGGAAAAAAGTGTGAATGTTTTAATGTTCTCAGTGGCCAAGTGGATACTCAATAAACGTATATATTTAAAGCAAGGAAAGTTGTTGAATCATGTACTTGTTTTGATTTAAGATTCTCTGGTTGCTCCAATGTAGGTATGCTAGTCCAATATTATTGCTATTAAGTTCTAAATATTCTCAAAATGGGACAACTACTTATGCCTTTTATATTTTTATAATTGAAACCAGGTTCAGTAGCATACACCTATAACCTCGGTACTTAAGGTAGAGGCAGGGGAATCCGTTCATGCCAGCCAGAACCTGAGATTCTGTCTCAAAAAAGTTGTGTTTTTGTTTGTTTGTTTGTTTGTGTTTTTGTTGTTGTTGAAACTGATACATTTTTAGAAGTAAATTGAAATTTGTACTGACATACTATTCACATATTTTGTTAAGAACTAGGAAACTTGGGGAAAAATTTAGTAGAAAGTAAGTGACTAATAAATAACCCTATCATGAAGTGTAGTAACTATTAAAGCTTTCATGTATCACTTCTTGCTTATCTAGTTCTCTTTGTAGCTAAAATAAGTTCAGAAAATAAAAAGGTAGAGTTACCACAAACTCCCAATAAAAAGTGTGTTGGAAAATAAAAAGGTAGAGTTACTACAAACTCCCAATAAAAAGTGTGTTGGTAAACTAAGCTGGGTTTGTAATACACATTTCTTTTCTTTTTTTTTTTCTCAAAAATTTTAATTTACTTATATTTTTTTATGTATGAGTCTCTGCATGTATGCCTGCAGGCCAGAAGAGGGCACCAGATCTTATTATAGGTGTTTAAGAGCCACCATATGGTTGCTGGGAATTGAACTCAGGATATCTGAGTTCAGCCAATACTCTTAACCTCTGTGGTACACATTTCTAATTCTAGCACCTAGCAGCTAGAGGCATGAAGATCAAAAATTCAAGTCTATCCTTAGCTGCATAGCTAGTTGAAGGCTATCCTGTACTATATATATGACTCTATCTCAAAAAGCAAAGGAAAAGAAAAAAGATATGTTAAAATCATCTCAAAAGATTTTTTTAATCTTGTCTTTTTAAATCTAGGGAAGAGAAATCTCGGAAGAATCAATGCTGGAAATCTCTCTTCATAACTACTTACTCAGATGTAGGAAGATACATTGACCATTATGCTGCTATTAAAAAGGCCTGGGATGACCTCAAGAAGTACTTGGAGCCCAGGTGTCCTCGGATGGTTTTATCTCTGAAAGGTACTGGGAATACAGGTTCTCCATCCACATTTTAGTTAGTATAGCAAGACTAGTTTAAATAACTTTGGATCTGTTGTGTACCTGGGCTAATCCAACCTCTTCTAGTTCACCATTCACATTTTTCGAATAGCCAAGAAAATATACTGTTGGTGTTGTTAAAGGGATCTTGCCTTTTTTTTGTTAGCTTGGGAACCCATATAGTATTAGATAAAAAGTTGAACTATTATCTTTATTTGTTTTATATAAAGAAACAATGCTAAGATTGCTTGAGAATAACCATTATGATTTATTTTTATTTTTGCAATGATGGTGATTGAGCCAAGGGCCTCATGCATTTTAGGCAAGTATTCTACCATGGACCTATACCCCCTTTCCTAAAGATGACTATTGTTGTTGTTGTTATTGTTTTGTGTGTATGTGTGTAGTATGCGTATGTGTATACATGTTCACATATGCGTTCACCTCCGTGTTTGTAGGCCAGAGAATATCACATGTCTTTCTGGATTGCTCTCCACTTTATTTACTGAGGTAGAGTCTCTTCCTGAGCTTGCTGACTGAGCTAATCTAGCTGGCCTGCTTACCCCAGGTATTCCTGCCTCTACCTCCCAAATGATAGATTACCTGCTCAGTTTTTATGTGGTCTCTGGGAATCCAAATTTCAATCTCATGCTTAGGTGACAAGTGCTTTATTTTCGGAAGCATTTCTCTAGCCCAAGATTAATTCTTAACTGAAAACTTCTATCAATACCTTTTCTTGTTTGGTGTCTATCAACTGTTAGGAAAGAACCTGGGTCTTTAAGCACAGAATAAGGATAACTTTTCGTTTGGTATTTACAAAGTAGTGAAACTAAGATTTGAACTCAAGTCTGTTTGCCCCAGAATCTATGTTCTTTCTGTTATATTGTCTAATTATGATTAGAAATATTAACAAGTTATTTCCATTTGATTTGTTAATTAATCCCTATAAAAATACATTTGTAACTACTTATCTGCTTTCCACTTTAAGTTTTTTCAGACTTATTCACTAAATGGAATCATATGTATGCTGTGGTTTTGCCAAGCTAAAATTGGAGTCTGTTCTTTTTTACTCTTTTTCATTAGAACCAGTCTTTTTGAAATAGCATTTCCTTTTTCCTTCAGATTTCCACTGTAATTTCTCATGAAAATGTTACTTTCAGACAAACCATGATTTCATAACAAGGTGCTTAAATCTGGGTTTGTTAGATCTTAGTAAATGGAGTAGGTAGAACACTGGGAGTCCCCCATTAATATCTTAACAGCTTATCCTCTAAGAAGAAATTAGTAATATTCACCTGGTATGGGCATAAGCTACTTCAATAGGATGTAATCTGAAAATAAATACTCAGTGGTAGTCAGTAAAATAGTAATTCATAATAGCACAATGGTAGACACAACTCCTTGGTTTTTTTTGTTGTTATTGTTGTTGGGTTTTTTTGTTGTTGTTGTTTTTTGTTTTTCCCGAGACAGGTTTTCTTTGTGTAGTCCTGACTGTCCTGGAACTCACTCTGTATACCAGGCTAGCCTGAAACTCAGAGATCTGCCTGCCTCTACCTCCCACGCCCAGCTTCAAAATTAAGGGTTTTTTGTTGTTATTGTTTGTTTGTTTGCTTGGTTTTTGAGACTGGGTTTCTCTATGTAGCCCTTGCTGTCCTGGTATTAGCTCTGTAGACCAGGCTGGCCTCAAACTCAGAGATCTATCTACCTCTGCCTCCCAAGTGCTGGGATTAAAGGTGTGCACCATACCTTTATGTAACACATAGAATACAAACATTAGCTTTTTCCTTATCCAACATGATACTGGCTTCTATTCTGCTTGGTTTCTTTTCTATCAAACTTTTGGTTTTTTACACTTTTGTGTGTGTGTGTGTGTGTGTGTGTGTGTGTGTACACTTAGTGAAAATCAGAGGTTGATGCCTTAGTTGTTTTCCACCCTATTTTTTTTTTTTTTTTTTTGAGACAGGGTCTCTCGATGAACCTGAAGCTCATTGATTTAACTATATCAACTGGTCAGTGAGCTATAGGGATATGCCTGTTTGTGTCTCTAAATTCTGGGATTGCAGTCATTCAGCACAGTGCCTGGCTTTTAAAAGGTGCTAAGGAATCTGAGTTTGAGTCCTCATTCTTGCAGAGCAAGGGCTTTCTTGACTGAGGTATCTCCCCAGTCCCTAATATATAGAGAGAGTAATTTAGATTTACAGAGAGTTCTGTATACTCAGTTTCTCTAGTATATTACACTGGAGGACATTTATCAGAACTAAAAATTCACATTTGATGTAGATTTCATCATTTGATTTAGATTTCGAAGGTATAGTTAAGGTTCCAAATTAATTGAATTTGAATGTTAATTAAAAGGAAAATGATCTTGAATGGGCCTACCTTAATCAAGTAAATTCTTAAAAGGATCTGGGCCTTTCAGAAGGCAGAGAGATTCTTAATATGTTTTTCCTGTTTACTTTGAGTAAGCAAATTGGTATGTTGAGGAGAAGGCTACAGAATAGGAAATGTTAGGGGACTCCTGGGCACTGAGGCCTCAGTGAAAAACTGCTGAATTCTGCAAATAACAAAGTGAGCTTAGAAGAGGATCTGAAGCAGAAGATGACTAAGATGAGCTGGCACCTCAATTAACACCATGATTTCAACATTGTGATCTAAACAGAGGATCCATTTGAGTTGTGCTTGAACTTGTGATGCTTAGAAACAAATAATAAGGAAGTTTCTGGCTTGGTTTCCTAGGGGTTGGACTCAGTGTACTCCACCTCCTCTCAGTTAAGTCTGTAGTAGAGAGGCAAGAGCACGTGTGTGGGAGAGGTGCTTACGAAAGGAGCCCTGCCTGGGCTGTCCTAGCCTCCCATCTATTTGCAAAATAGGCAAACAAATGAGTAGTAATAGTTTTAAACTGCTAATACTTTTTTTAAAAAAAACTCTGTCATTAAAAAATATATTTGGGGCTATGAGTTGTACTTCATTGCTTAGCCTGCTGCCCCCTTGCAGTGTACCTAAAACTTTAAGTGGAGAAAAAAAAATGTGTGTATACATATATGTGTGTGCACACACGTGTTTTACTTAGGTACATAAAAGTGATAACCTACATAGTGAATTTAACCTTTTGCTGTTATTATTACGAAAGTTCTCCATTAGTTTTATTAAAGCTGTTTGATTTAAAGTCTAACTCATGATCTGAATAGAGCCATCCTAGCTTTTTTTCCCAGTGTCTACAATAAGATGAGTCTCTTGGGTAGAATTTCTTTTAATTACTTCGGTGTTGAAATTGAAGCTGAGACCTAACACATTCTTTTTTTTTTTTTCCCCCTTCGGAGACAAGGTTTCCCTGTGTAGCCTTGACTGTCTTGAACTTGCTCTGTAGACCAGGCTGGCCTTAACTCAGACATACCTGCCTACCTGCCTCTGCCTCCTGAGTGCTGGGGCTAAAGGTGTGTGTCACCACCGACTGGCAGCCTAACACATTCTAAGCCTGTGCTCTCTACCTCTGCACTGCATCCTTGAGTCCTTGTTCTTTACCTGGTCTGTCTTTTCATTAGATTATTTGGCTTAGTGATGTTAATTTGTTTACTAATACATTTGAACTTAACCATGTCATTTAAATATGTTCACTTTTTTGCAATCTTAATTATGTTTAATTTCTTTTCTTTCCCTTTGTATTTCCTTTATAGTGACCACAATATAGATTAAAATATGCAGTTTTGATGTATTGAAGTCTAATAGAATTTAGTGTTTACCACTTCCTGGACAGTGAAAGAGCTTTAGTTCTGATCATCTCCCTCCCCCTTTTATGGGAGGGTATTTGGGCTCCAGATCAGGTCCCTGTGCATGTTAGTCCATCACTGAGTCCGATAGTGTTATTTTGTGATTTTAATTTTTAGCATATTTCTTATCCTGAAAACCTGTGGTGAGGATCACAGTATGTGTCAACACTCCTTGCCTGCTCTTTAGTTCATTCTTGTTTTTATTTAGGCTTAGTTCTTCTGAGTGATTTTACAGCACTATTTGGGTCTTAGGATAATAATTTTTTCTTCTAGAGAGTACCTTCTACCTTTGCTGCAGATAGTCAGGGGGTTGGTCATATTAATGTGATCTAGGATTGATGCAATTGGAAAAACTGTGCTTTTCATATGTGAGGACTGGTTTGTTTCCAGTTCACTTTTTCTTAGGATTTGGCTTTCTATAACCTAGCCAAACCTAAACAAACAAACTGTGTTTGTTTATTTGAACAGGCCCTTTTCTCTTTAGTGGACTCTGGACACCACCCCCCTTTTAATCCATCAGTCCTATAGTATTGTCTAAAGCTGGGCTCATCATCTCTTTGACCACTTGTTTTAGAATTGGCAATTGCTTAAAAAAATCAAGGTGATTCTAGATGCCTAATTGACCTCTTGTGTTTTTGTTTGATTATTTTGTTTCTGTTTTTCCTTTTTCTTACTCTTAGGGTTACAGTCAATGTGCCACCATATCTGGCTACGTTGTGGGGTGTTGTTGGTAGTTGGTTATTTTATTTATTATGTTTCCATAGAATTTTGGACATAATCATTCAATAGTGAGAGATTTGATCCAATAACCTGAGGGGCTGTTGCTTGGAAGTGGGTCTCTTCTTGGTGTTTGTATTTTTTTCCCCCCCCGTTTGTGACAGCTAGAATGTAGGTCAAGTTTTCAAATGTGCATGCAAGAGTTCAACTTAGTGGCTTCTCACAGCATGAACCTACATCTACCTAATGTTCCATATTTCCCGTAAAGGGTCACATTGAAACTCTAGAAATGACATCAGCTGAGAGAACTTTCAAGATTGTTGTTTTTTAAAAAAGTATGAATATATTATGTTTGGAAAAGTGAGAAGGTTTTTGTTATAATATTAAAAAAACTAATTGTTCATTTCCTTGGTACTCCTCTCCATTTTACTTTGTGCTGGTGTTTTCCCTGTCAAGAGGAAACTAAAGACTTTGTTCAGTGTTTAAAATTAATTTCCAATTCACTGCCCTATATTTTAACAGTATATGTTGAACAGAATTCACTTGTTGTAAGATTGTTTCATGGGTTGGCAGCTGACCTACTAGATTGAAGTCTGATTGTGTGTACACACTTCTGTCTTTGGTGTACGTTTGCAGAAGGCGCACGTGAGGAAGACCTGGATGCTGTAGAAGCTCAGATTGGTTGCAAGCTCCCTGATGATTATCGATGTTCATACCGGATTCACAATGGGCAGAAGTTAGTGGTTCCAGGGTAAGTAATTCTCAGAAATGGACATTACTTTCTAGAATGAAAGTACATCTTATTCACTTTTCCTTAGTTGTGTGTGTATATATGAAAATGTGTGTTATATATATGAATGATATTATGGAAAAGGGGGATTCCCTCTTATAGCAATCCATTAGATAGTATCTATAGGTTAAATTAAATTCTATTAAAACAAATGTGTCTTATAAAAGAATTATTCCTACCAACACATTTTTTAAGAAGATTAAGATGAGATCTGGTTGGGGATGGGAGCTCTGGGACACAGGAGATGTGTGTGTGTGTGTGTGTGTGTGTGTGTATTTGTGAGTGTATGTAACCTGTTAAGAATGCTTGATGTGTTTACCCTGTTACAAGTTAGGCAAACTGGTTTAGGAACTTGATGCAAATTTTATCTACTATACTTGTGTATAAAAAAAAAACAGAAAAAGAAAAAAAAGGCATGATTTGTTCAGAGATGAATACACCAAACTAAGGAAAGAAGAGTTTTCATTGTAGGTTTTTGTTTTTTTTTTTGGTGTTTGTTTATTTGTTTTTTGGTTTTTCCAGACAGGGTTTCTCTGTAGCTTTGGAGGCTGTCCTGGAACTAGCTCTTGTAGCCAGGCTGGTCTCGAACTCACTGAGATCCTCTTGTCTCTGCCTCCCGAGTGCTGGAATTAAAGATGTGAGCCACCACTGCCCAGCAGGTTTGGTTTTTGGGTTTTTTTGTTTGTTTGTTTGTTTGTTTGTTGTTGTTTATGAAAGAAGACCCTATAGTAGCCATCAAATTTGTTTACAGTTTTATAATTGATAAACTTTGTCTGTGTCTATTCCTTTTGTACTTTCAAGCTATTTCAATACTGTATTTGTAAAATACCAAGAGGGTAGGGAGAATGTTACATTGTTCTTCATGGAATCATGTTATTCCTCTGTGTGTGAGGAATTATGGGAAACTGTTAATGATTTCAAATCTGAATTGAGTATTCTCCAAGGGGATCTTACTGATAACACAAAGTAGTAGTCCTGAAATGAGATGTCAGGGATGAGTCATAAACAGGTCAGTTAGGGGGCTGGAGAGATGGCTCGGTACTTAAGGGTGAGTATTGCTCTTGCAGAGGCCCTGAGTTCCTAGCGCCCATACTGGGCAACTCAAAATGGCCAGTAATTCCAACTCCAGGGAGTCCCAATGCCTCTGGCATCTGCACTCATTCTCTCCTACCCTCTCCTTTCTCTCTCTCTCTCTCTCTCTCTCACACACACACACACATACACACACTTTAAAATTATCAAAGTAAAAACCTTAAAGAAAGAAAAAGAAATAGACCAGTTAGGACTAGAGACACCTAAGTGATTGGCTCTGATTTTCTAATCTGTTTTCCTAGTGAATTGAAACCTGAAAAAGCTGAAATTTTTGTATTATTTTAAGAGAAAATAGAATTGAACTTTGTTAAGACTTGTCCATGCAGGACGTTGGTGGCGCACACCTTTAATCCCAGCACTCAGGAGGCAGGGGCAGGAGGATCTCTGTGAGTTCGAGACCAGCCTGGTCTATAAGAGCTACTTCCAGGACAGCCTCCAAAGCCACAGAGAAACTCTGTCTCAAAAAACCAAAAGAAAAAAGAAAAAAAAATAGACTTGTCCAGAACTGACACAGTAGATAGCTCATGAATTTCAATACAGGGTTATTTATCATTGTGTCTGTCTACCCAAGAAATCAGACTTGGAGAAGACTTTTTAATCAGTGACTAGTTTTGTTGGCATTCATCATACACACACACACACACACACACACACACACACACACACGAGAGAGAGAGAGAGAGAGAGAGAGAGAGAGAGAGAGAGAGAGGGAGGGGTGGGGGGTGTTAATGCATATCTATGGAGATTAATTTTTACCACATCTGTTTCAAGTTTGTGACAGTTTAGATAAGATTTAGACTTGGTTTACATTTGTTTCTGTCTAGTTTCATAGGATAAACTGAAAGTTGAATCAAGATAAAGATGTCAGAAAATTTATCCCTTTAGCATTAAATTAGCTATCAATATATGTGTGTGCATATATGAGCATATGTACATACATAAATAGCAGGTCACAGAGCACTAGTTCACTATATAATATAGTTTATTTTTTTAATTTTGTAGTAAATTTTTTTTTTCCCTGAAGCAGGGTTTCTCTGTGGCTTTGGAGGCTGTCCTGGAAGTAGCTCTTGTAGACAGACCATGCTGGTTTTGAACTCAGAGATCCGCCTGCCTCTGCCTCCCAAGTGCTGGGATTAAAGGCGTGTGCCACCACCACTCAGCTGTAGTAAAAGTCTTACTGTGTAGTCCATGTAAGCCTTGAACTCATTATCTTTTTCTCAGCCTTTGGAACAGTTGGATTTTAGTATATGCCATTTGCTGAGTGTTCTTTTTAGACAGGGTTATGCTTGCCTCTGCTGGCCAAGAATCTACTATATAGCCTGTTTCATCTTTCAGCTGCCTTTCTGCTTTAGTCTTAGTGTCTGGTCACAGGCATGAATCACCATTCCAAGTTCCTTAAAAGCAACAAAGTTATATTTCTTCTAAAAAGACTGGCATTTAGATACTTTAGACATTTAATTTTTAAATTTAAGAATATTCTGATTTAGAGTGAATTTGAGCCAGGCAGTGATAGTGCATGTCTTTAGTCCCAGGACTCAGGAGGGAGGCAGAGGCAGGCAGATCTCTGTGAGTTTGAGGCCAGCCTGATCTATAGTGTTGTAGGCTTTTTTTACTCTTTGTGGGGCCTGTCAATCAGCTCCCAAATAAATACACACAGAGACTTATTCTTTCTTATAAATGCCCGGCCTTAGCTTGGCTATTTTCTAGCAGCTTTTCTTACCTTAAATTATCACATCTTTTACCTCTGGGTTTTTATCTTTCTCTGTTTCTCTATAACTTTATTTACTTCTTTCTCCATGGCTTGCTATATAATTGTGTGGCTTGCCCTTGGGGTCTTCCTCTCCTCCTGTTTCTCATTCCTCGATCCTTTCTTCTCACATTTCACCTTCTATTTATTCTCTCCATCTGCCAGACCTACCTATCCTTTCTCCTGCCTCACTATTGGCTGTTAAGCTCTTTATTAGACCAATCAAGTGTTTTAGGCAGGCAAAGTAACAGCTTCACAGAGTTAAGCAAATGTAACATTAAAGAATGCAACACATCTTTGCATCATTAAACAAATGTTCCAAAGCATAAACAAATATAACATGATAATATTCTACAACATACAGAGTGATTTCTAGGACAGCCAGGACTATACACAGAGAAACCCTGTCTCAAAAAAAAAAAAAAAAAACCACAAGAAAAAGAAAAGAAAAAAAAGTGAATTTGATATATAGAAATTTTAGTGGTTTTGATATTCCTGATTTAAAATTTGTTTGCTAACCAATGCTTAGAAAATTACCAGCTTGGCATGATGACACACAATTCTAATGCCTATAATCTCAGTGCTCTGGAGGCTGAGGCAGGAGGATTATTTGAGGCCAGCATCAACTACATAGCAAGTACCAGACCAGTTTAGGGCTGCATAGCAAGACTCTGGTTTTGTTTGTTTGTTTTAAACAAAACAAAAAAGAAATTTGTCAGTGTGAAATTATTCACCAAAAAGGTGAAACACAAGCCCTGTGGCACTGTGTGTTTCTGTTGTTCTGCTGTTGATAGTTTTGAGTCTGTATTCTCCTCAGGTTGCTGGGAAGTATGGCACTGTCAAATCACTATCGCTCTGAAGATTTACTAGATGTTGATACTGCTGCCGGAGGATTTCAGCAGAGACAGGGATTGAAATACTGTCTCCCTTTAACCTTTTGCATACATACGGGCTTGAGTCAGTACATAGCTGTGGAGGCTGCAGAGGGCAGAAATAAAAACGAAGTGTTCTACCAATGTCCAGTAAGTAGGAAGTGTGTTTGATTATTGCTTTAACATGTGTTCTGACAATAATACAAATGTATGCATTGGATACATTCAGGGATATAAAATAGGATGGAACATCATACATTTTTAGCTAGAGAACTAATATCCTCACATGGTGATACAGAATACCAAAAGGAAGGTTTGCCATTGGATAAATAGTGCAAACTCAACATGTTTAGATGGAAAGTTGTAATTCACATTAAGGTATTTTAAGTATAAGAGAAACCAAGGAACTCATTATTGAAGTCTTTGATTGTAATGTATAAAATTATCTTTTAAACATTCTAGAATTGTTGAGGTCTCTTGACTGTGAATCCAAAGCCCTTTCTTCTAGTATAACAAGCTATTTATTTTATCACTTTAACTTGCTAATTATGTTCTTGAAGGATAGTTTCTTGTCTTCTGGTTGGAACTGACAGGTGTTGCTAAAATTCCTTCTCAAGGAGAGTGGTAAGACTCTCTACCTCTCTCCCTAAGGTCCCAATGGCAAATCCAGGCACGAGTCCACCAAAGTTCACTTTGGGGAAACAATAACAATATTTCATAGATGAGGGACTACTTATAGACTTGAGGGTACCCCTCCATGGGTAAAGCATGTATGAGGACTTCCCCATAGCTGTATAAATGGAGCCTCAGCCCTAATCCTTCCCTACTTCTATATATACCAGGTGGTAGGTAGTAGCTGGCGACTCTGATCAGTAGAATCTTGTGCCCTTGCAGGCTCATCTGTGGAGATGGGGTGTAAACAATCAGAACAGCTGGAATGATCTTTTGCATGTGTGTGGGGGTGCAGCTGAACTCTCCAAGATGGTGATTGCTTGGCCAGGAAGACAATTACAAGGAGGAATATCTGATTATTGTTTAGAAAACTGAATTTGTTTTTAATCTGTTTTGCTTTGTTCTCAGAGAAGTAGGTAAGAAACAATAAGAATGTATTTGTATCAGTTTTGTTTCTGTTTTCCTCGTAGGACCAAATGGCTCGAAATCCTGCTGCTATTGACATGTTTATCATAGGTAAGAGAAACATAGAAAAGTATCTTTTCCCTTCTTTCTATTGGCTTAGGAAAGAAAATGAATTGGCAAAATGGAGTTACTTGAGCAGCTGGCAGCTTTATACTTGGATCTCTTAGTAATTCCTGGTTTAATAGGTTCTATGTTTATGTTTTCTCGTTGGGGCATCCCTTTTGTTTTCATTGTTTAGGAAAAAAAGCCATATCCTATTTAGTCTTAAGTTTTTAATTTTCTTTAGATAAATGATATAGGTCTTGTATTACCTTAACTGTTGCTGTGATAAGGATACCCTGACAGAGAGCAACTTGGAGAGCAAGGGGTTTATTTCATCTTACAGGTCATCATAGTCTGTCATTGGGGGAAGCCAGGGCAGGAACTCAAGGCAAGAACTGAAGCAGAGGCCATGGAGGAGTGCTGCTTGCTCTCTGGCTCACTCACAGGCTTATGCTTAGCTAGCTCTTTTATATATATATCTGCCCAGGAAATGGTGCTGTGTACATAGGCTAGGTTCTCCTTCATCAATTAATAATAGGACAATCCCTCACATACCAATCTGATGTGCACACTCCCTCAATTGAGACGCAGGTGACTCTAGGTCAACAATCCTCAGCCCTCCTAATACTGCAACCCTTAAAAACAGTTCCTCATGTTATGGTGACTCCCCCAACCATAAAATTATTTTGTTGCTACTTCATAACTGTTATTTTGCTACTGTCTTGAATCATAATGTAAATACCTGATATGTAGGATGGTCTTAGGCAGCTCCTGTGAAAGGGTCCTTTGACCTCAAAGGGGTCATGACCCACAGATTGAGTACTGCTGCTCTAGACTGTGTCAAGTTGATAGTTACAGCTAAGTAGGATAATTTCTATAACATATCGGTGAACTTTCCCCTGAGCATATGAATATATAATTGGAGGTACAGTTATTTAAAATGATTATATTTTTTTCTCATTTGCTGCTAATTAACAAGTTACAGTAGAAACCTGAGAGCATCATTCTTCAAGATGAGTGTAAATTGTAGGCTTCACACACCCCTTGGTACTTGTTTTCCTTGGCTATGAAGGTATTGCTTACTAATTTGGGGGAATTCTTTAGTTTAGATTTAAGTGCAGCTCACCTTTTGCTGGTTGTTCAGTCTCGTCCTGCTGAGACCCTGCTCACTAGCAGAAGCTTCCTGTATACTAAGTCTGCTTTATAAGGGGATTTCTGACATAAACATATCCCTTATGTATTCATAGTAGAAAAGATGCTGAGGGATTGCTCAGTGATAGACTACATGCCTGGCATGTGCAAGGCCCCAGTTTCAGTCAATCCCCAGCACTAAGTAAATAAATAAATGTTGGCATTTAATTTCATCTTCTAATTGGAACCTAGAACAGCAAACAAGTATCTGTTTTATTTCATACGGTGACATGGTCCAAGTTTGTGATATACTTCACAGTATCTAAAAAGATCTTACTCTTAACCCAAGTTATGCAAGCTTTTAAATTTAGGCCTTAGCTTTCAACTCATTTTGACTTCTACAGTGTCCTGTTTCTAAGCTAAACACTATCAGGAAGTGTGCTTATGCTCATTATCTTCATTGGCATTTTGGTATAGCATATTGTCAGAGATGACTGTCACAGCTCTAGCCCAGCAGTGCTGATAAATTTGTAAATTAAAGACTTCCTGGTCAATAAGGAAAGTTCCTGTTAGGTTCTGAATTTCTTTCATTTCCATGTTTGTCTGCTTTGAAACTGAATAAACCACCCTTGCAACAAATATGAAAGTCTGATAATTAAAAATACAATCAGTGATGTAAATTGAACATCTGATACTCAGTTAAGAACCAGGTTAATTGAAACCAGATTACAAAAAAATGCAGTGAATAGGGCTGGAGAGATGCCTCAGAAGTTAAGAGCACTGGCTGCTCTTCCAGAGGTCCTAATTCAAATCCCAGCAACTACATGGTGGCTCACAACCATCTATAATAGGATCTGATGCCTTCTTCTGGCCTACATTGAATATATGTAGGCAGAACACTGTATACATAAAAAATAATCTTTAAAAAATATTCAGTAAACAGCATTAAGTACTATATATTGAAGGCACTAAGTTGTACTTAGTTGATGTTTGAAAATCACATTGTATTACATAGAATGTTTAAACTTAATTCATATAAACACTTGTCATGAATTCTTTTAATATAACATAGACAGATAGTATGGACTGGGCTGATGTAATAAAAATGTTTTCTGCTTTGAGTTGGTCACTGAGCATATGGAGGACCACTGTGCAACTGAATCTATAGTAGTGAGCATCTTGATGACTTTGGTATTGACCTAATGCTGAGAATTCCACAAAGTCATATCTCTGGAAGCTGTTTAGAGTGAGCCTGGCTTGTGCCAGGATTTTGAGTATATATTAGGATGTGTCTAAGATGAACCCTGATCATTGAGAGGAGGTGTCTGATAACCTTTCTTAATGCTTTTTTCCTAAATGTAACTATTTCTTTTGTTCTATATGCTTTAGAAATTAATAGACAAATTGGCTTTGGTATGGTGATAAAAACTATTATCTTGAGTATAAAACAAAAAACAACATAGGTGAAAATAGCTGTAGAATTCCCTAACAAGAATTGGGCAGGGGCCATGGATAGTGCTAGTAGAGAACACAAAGGACATAATGTAGATAGAATTGAGAACAGAAGGACTGGATTGATGACTCATTTGGGTAAAAGGACTTAATGTGAAAGCATAAGGATCTGAGTTCAAGTCCCAGTACCCATGTGAAAGCTGGGTGTGCCCATGCCTGTAATCCCAGCATTTTATAGAGCAGAGACAGGAGGATTGCTGGGCCTTGCTGGATGCTAGTTTAGCTCCAGATTCAATGAAAGGCCCTGTCTCAAAGGAATGAGGTGGAGAGTGATGAAGCAGGGATGTGATATCCTCTGTCCTTTGCATGTGTGTGCACAAGTGCATACAGAGGCACTTACTAGGCATACACCACACTTACAATAAGAATTGGAAAAAGAGAAAAAAAGAATTGTCTAAAGAAATTGTACTAATAAAGTACTAGTAGAATTATACCTATAAATATTTCTAGTTTTGGTATCATACCTTAAATATAGTGAAATTATAGTTGGTTGTTTCTTCTATAGTTTTTTTCCCATTTGCTCATTTTCCCCTTCTTGGTTTATAGGTGCTACCTTTACTGACTGGTTTACATCCTACGTCAACAATGTTGTATCAGGTGGTTTCCCCATCATCAGAGACCAGATTTTCAGGTATTTTAGTTGAGGCTTTTGGGATTGAAACTACTATAAATCAGAAAAGGCTAACTATTGCAGATATCTATCATGAGATTAGATTTCTCTGAAAGGTTAAGAAATGAACTTCACTGTCCTAAATCTGACTATTTCATTCTCACACCAAAGCCAAACATCCAAACATTTAATCAGTCCATATTTTTCTTGTCTTGAAAAATCAAGAGGAAAAAACCAAATGTGTTTTAGTAGCCTGTCAGTAGCTATATAATTTCTCTTTGAAAAACAAAAAGTTAGTTAATTAATGGGTTTATTATGAACACCAAGTAAACAACTAACTCATAGCAAACATTTATTATCTCTAACTGGGACATTCAAATGTTAGCAGTTAGTATTAGAGGTGGTTACAGGTAATACTAGTTCATAGTAACCTTCATGGCAGAAACAGTAGGTTAAGTATATGTCATGGGCTTCTCCACTAGAGGCAGGAATTACTAATTATGCATAAGAGGCTCAAGATATTTACATTGCCCATATTTTCATTGCCATATTCACTATTTAATGAGTATGGTCAGAAGTCTTCCAAATTTTTATAGCACTGAGAACCAAGAGAAGCCCTTGTTAGTTTCTAAACTGATTACTGATCCATGGTTTGAATCCATGACCATGGATCTTTGATTGCTGTCTATACTAAATCAGAATCACCAAGGTTTTCCAACATTATGAAATTCAAGTTCAACAGGATTGTATCAATATAACTTAAAGTTTTAATTGTAAAGTATAAGGAAGTTATTGTACATGATATCTTTAAGCCATTTAAGAATTGAAGCTAGTTGATTTAAACATGTTTAATTTCCTTCCTTGCTAGATACATTCATGACCCAGAGTGTGTAGCAACAACTGGAGATATTACAGTTTCAGTGTCCACATCATTTCTGCCAGAACTCAGCTCTGTACACCCACCACACTATTTCTTCACATATCGAATCAGGTGAGAATTTTAAATGGGACTGTTGTGGTCGTCAGTTTGTTTCTATGACAAAATAGCTAAGCAGTTAACTGATGAAAGGGGTTTATTTGGCTCAGGGTTTCAGAGGCTTCAGTCCATGGCCATTTGGCTCTATCATTTCTGGATCAGAGTGTGATTTGGCAGAGTATCATAGAAGTGTAGAATAATGTCACAGAGTAAAGCTGTTCACTTTGTAGTGACCAGTAAGCAGAGAAAAAAATAAAACAAAACAAAAACAAGCTAGTCTTCAACACGTGAGTCCTTGGTACCATTTTATATCTGAACCATAAGATTCGACTTTCACTGCTGGGCAGTGGTGGCACATGCCTTTAATCCCAGCACTTAGGAGGCAGAGACAGGTGGATCTCTGTCTGAGGCCAGTCTGGTCTACAGAATGTGTTTCAGGGCTACACAGAGAGACCCTGTCTTGGAAAAAAAACAAAAACAAAAACAAAAAACAACCAAGACTCACCTCTCAGTTAAAGTGCAGATATCCTATGGCTGTTTCACTTTTGCCTCTTTTTGGACATGGCCTGTAAAATGACTTTTAGGGGGGTTCTGTTGTTGTTGTTGTTGTTCTGTTTTATGGTCCTATGAATAAAATCAAGAACCTTCTACATGTTTGGCAAGTACTCTGTCACTGAGCTGCAATCCCCAGCCATAAAGTACATTTAAGAATTATTTTTTATTTATTTTTAAAATTGTATTTTTTTTTGTGGGTATGTGTTTGCTTGCATATGTGTGGGTTCATGTGTATGTGGAAGCCTACAGTTGATAGAAGGAGTCTTCCTCTATCATACTCACCTTAATTTTTGAAGCAGGTCTTGTAGTTAACTTAGAGCTTGCCAATATAACTAGACTAGCAATCCTTGTTTTGGGGATACCATCTCTGCCTCCTGTGCAGGCAGCCACACCTACCCAGAAGGTTCTAGGGCTTCAAGCACCAGTCCTTATGTTTGTGCCCAATGAGCCATCTCCCTAGCTCTAAAGTATACCTAAATTTTTAGTTACATTTTAAATTTATTGTATGTATGTGTGTGGGGTCTCCAGAGATTAGCTTGTGGGAGTTGGTTCTTTGCTGTCCTGTGGTCCTGGGAATGCTACTCAACTTGTTAGGTTTGGCAGGAAATGCCTTTATCCATTGAGCCATCTTGCCATCCTGCTAAAGCACATTTTGAAAAAATGTTTCTTGCTGAAGTTTGCAAAAAAAGTTAGTCAATTTTCAACAATATAGTGCTCACAAAGAAGTTTGACAAACTATGTTTTTTTTTTTTTTTTTGCATGTGTCCTGAGTATGAATTATTGTTTCAGATACTGTGGGAACTGGACCACTGAGTTCTAATTGTCAAAGCTCTTTTTTAGATTTATAATGTAATCTAGAAGCTATCACCTTGCCAAACAGAAAACCATGCATTTAAAATTTCATGTGGCCTGTCTATATTCAATTTTAAATTGCAGTAAATATTTATGGAGTTCTTCATAGTATTAATGTTTGATTTGATTAAATATAAAAACAAATGCTTTAATTCCCTGTACTTAGAAATATTCTGTACTTAGGCAGAAAGATAACCTGTTGCTACAAGTATAGTCTAGATGGGTTTTTTATTTGTTTTGGTTTTTCGATTCAAGGTTTCTCTCTACTACTTTGGAGCCTGTCCTGGAACTTGCTCTGTAGACCAGACCGGCCTCGAACTCACAGAGATCCACCAGCCTCTGCCTCACAAGTGCTGGGATCAAAGGCGTGTATCACCAACACCTGGAATAGATGTTTGTTTTTATTTAGTTCCTACTTAGAATTAAGGCTTGCTTAAAATAGAAACACCTTTGTATTTTACTTGATGTAAAAGTTAGAGGCAGATTCCTAGAGAAAGAGGAAATGATAGTGTCTAGAAACAGAGTTGAATATAAATCCAGTAACTTGAGACTTAGTAATTTGAGCTTTTTAGAAGCTAATGAGGGGGAAAAAAAAGAATTGTGTTGCATAGGTTTGTATGAGTAAATGACTGAGTTCTTCAGAAGTTTTTCATGGCACTGTATCTAAAAATGTCTGCCAAATGGAATTTTATCTGAGCAGCCAAAGATGGTTGCAACCACATTGTTTGCATGTATTTTTGCCACTGCTTCTATTGTTGGTTCTTAATGAATAATAGGTGAATAAATTGAGTTGAAAGCATTTCCATGGGGAGAATTAACCAGGTTAAAGCAATGTCTTTGAGAATGTATAGCTAACATGGACTTTGAGCTAGATTAATTAATTAATTAGTCCAATTGAAAGTCTCCATTGGAATTAACTCAAATGTTATACTCACTTGGAAATAAAACAAAAATTTTATTATAAAAAAAAAAAAAAAAAAAAAAAAAAAAAAAAAAGTAAAACGAATGCATCTGTCCTGCTCCTTTCTCCAGGATTGAAATGTCAAGGGATGCCCTTCCGGAGAAGGCCTGTCAGTTGGATAGTCGCTACTGGAGGATAACGAATGCTAAAGGGGATGTGGAAGAAGTTCAAGGACCTGGAGTAGTTGGTATGTCACCCAAGATTTACATTTCTCTGTCAGTTGCTTCAAAGAAAGTTTAGACTGTGTACCCATAAATGTAATTTGTGGAGGTCATTAGCTTATCATTTTAGTCCCTGAAATGTCAGCTTTTCTAAAACCATAGCAAATTCAATTATACAGGGACTGATCTCCCTTTCTGTGGATCATCTAGGGTTCCTTGATTGTTATTCTTGTGTTCTTTATTTTTTTAAAAAAATATTATTATATTCTATGAGTTAGGTGGCACAGGACAGTAAGAAAATAAATTTCACATTGGTAATCTTTATAAAATTTGGAGGTGGATGTTGAAGTTAATAGCACAGATTTAATTTTCATTGTTATTATTGATGCTGTTCTTCCGGAAGACCCAAGTTCAGTTCCTGGCATCCACATTAGGTAGTTCACAACCACATATAATTCCAGCTCCAGGGAATACAATACCTTCTGGCCTCTGTGAGCACTTATACTCATGTGCACATATGCACATGTATATACATAAATAATTATAATTTACAGTTTTTACTTAAGTGTTTATTTTTGGAGACAGGGTTTTACTATGGCTCTTGCTGGCCTGGAACTCTGTAGAACAGGCTGGACTTGAAATTACAGATATCCACCTGCATCTGCCTCCTGAATTCTGGGATTAAAGATGTATGTCACCACATCTGGCTGAAATATAAAATAAATCTTAAAAAGAGAAAATCTAGTACTAAGGAATTATATTACAGCTTTTGCCAGTTGTTGGTGTGAAGACCCTCCTCAGTAACTGACGTTTATCCAGACTGAACATTAGGGATTCACCTTGCAACCTTATGTTTTAGTCTCTCGAAACTATAAGAATTAGATTGTCTTTCTGTTTGTTTGAGCTACTGTCTTAACTGTGACACTTTTCTGTTTGTGTTTTAAAGATTATGTCAACTTTGAAAAAAAATGTGTGTCTTTTAAATTTTGTTTTACTAGATATTCCCCACCTGCTACCTTGTAGAGAATTTAGGGAATAAAAAAACAAAAAACCAAAACCAAAACAAAACAAAACACAAAAACTGTTAAGGGCTGGTAATATGATTCTTCAGACAAAGGCGAGTTCCACCAAACTTGATGACCTGAGTTCCATCCCTGGGATCCACAAGATGGAAGGGAAACAATTCCCATAAGTTGTCCTTTGCCCTCCATATGTAAAAAGTACTCAGCCCCCAAAAAATACCAAGAGAACTTTAACCCTCATGATCTCATCACTGCCATACTTCGTTGTATATACTTTTGGAGTTTTTCCTAATTGTGCAGTTTACTTTCAAACTACTTATATGGCATCTTGAGAACATGTTTACTTTAAAGAAGAAGTGAATTTTATAATTTGGTTTATTGTTACTATTTTCTATGCAGGTGAATTTCCAATTATCAGCCCAGGTCGGATATACGAATACACAAGCTGCACCACATTTTCTACAACATCAGGCTATATGGAAGGGTATTATACCTTCCATTTTCTGTACTTTAAGGACAAGGTCTTTAATGTTGCCATCCCCCGATTCCACATGGCATGTCCAACATTCAGGGTGTCTATAGCCCGATTGGTAAGTTAAATTTTTTCTAGTGCTGGATTACAGGACTTTGTATTCTAAGGACCATCTTTGTTTAGGTAGATGAGTGGTTTATAAATGATGTTCCAAAAAGTTAGGGTTATATTAATATATGAAAGGAGATGAACAATAAGTTCATTTTAGTTCCTCCTTACTTTTCAGCCAGAGAAACTACTTATTGTTTCTCAGATTAGACTTTTCTACTGCTCCCAACAGTAGCTATGTGGCCTGCATATGTTAGAAGATGTGAAAAGACCAAGCAAGACCCATTAAATTTGACTTTTGTCATTAAAAATGGAAAACAATTTCCTACAGTATTTTTACTAAGATTCCCAATTTAATACAGTAAACTAGTATTCTATAGAGAACTTTACAGAGGATTTATTGGTTATAAATATACTTTTTGCCATCTCCTGTGATTATTTTTCAAGCCAACCAGGCATATTTTACAAATCTCATTCTTAAGGTTACTTTGTGATAAGTACAGCAATAACCCTAATTTATGGACTGTAAAATGATTAAGCAAAGTGTATGAAGTCCTGCGTTACATACTGGGAATAGTATATTCAGAATTCACCTGAGTTGTAGACATTGGGTGCTTAGAAAATGCCCTCCTAGCTCCTGGAATGGGTGGGTTTGAGAGAATTCTAGAAAAAATGGACAAGCCACTAACTTTGCTGAAAGAGAATCCATTCTCTTTCAGTATAAAGGACCCATACTAGTCCAGATTTATAAGTAAAGTTTTAGCTTTCTTCTCAATGGGAGAATGCTAGAAACTCTTCCAGTATGGAGAATTTGCTACTCCCTGTAATAGACTTCCATTTTCTTTCTTGGGTGAAGGAGATGAGAAGAAGGGCTTGAGATAGAGTATCATTATGTAGCCCAGACTGTCCTCAAACTCACTGTTTTCTTGCCTCAGCCTCCCAAGTGCTAGATGTGTTGTCACCATGCCTACACCAGACCAGACTTCCATTTATATGAGCTTGGCACCATCTTATCCTTAAATGGTTGATATTCATCAGTGAAGCTGTCTGGGACTGGAATTTGCTTTGTGGGGAAATTTTAAAACATGGACTTAATTTCTTTAATATACATATTTTCTATTTCTTCTTGTTTCAGTTTTGGTAATTTGTGCCTTCAAGGAATTTTTTTTTCATCTGAATGTTGAATTTATTGGCACAAGGTTATTCACAATATTCCCTTAATATACTTCTAATGACTATAAGAGATGTAGTCAAATACCCTCTTTTATTATTAATATTGGTGATTTATATCCTTTTTTAATCACATCATTTTTATTGATCATTCAAAAAGGAACAACATTTAGTTTTGATGGATTTTCTGTACTGTTTGTTTTTTTTTCTATCCCAGTGATTGGTGCAGTTGTCTTTGTTTCTCCTACTTTGGGTTTAATTCATTTTTAATGTAGCTTTTAAAAGTAGAAGTTTAGATAATTGATTGTAGACCTTTCCTGTTTCTAACCACTGTGTTAGCTGTATTGTACAAATTTTGATGTTATATTTTAGTTAATATTTAGTTCAAAATATTCTCAGATATCCCTTGTAACTTTGACTTATGATTGCATGGAAATATGTTAATTTTCAAGTATTTGGAAATTCTTCAGTTGTCTTTTGCTTATTGGTTCCTGTTACTGTAGTTGGAGAAGTTACTGTGTATTGCTAATATTTTTTAGTGTTTCATGGCCCAAGATTATGTGAAGAATTTCTATATCTTGGTAAATGACCTTTGTGTATTTGAAAAGAATGTATATTCTGCCATGTGAGAATTTATTCTTTAAAAGACAGGCTAAGCTGGTTGATTGTTTGACAGTGTTTGTCAAGTCATCTGTATATTTCTTGCTTCAGCCATTGAAAGAGATTATTGTTGAAATATTCAGTTAATGTTAAGGCTTTGTCCAATTCTTGCTTCATTCTTGTCAGATTTGCCTCATGCATTTTGAAGTTTATAATTGTGTGCCAGTGCTTAGGATTGCTGTCTGTTTATGGAAGTAGTTCTTTGATTGTCATCTCCAATAACACTCCTGTCCTAAAGTTACAAACATTGAGATACGTTTGGACAGGCAGTCAAGCTGGGTCAGCTTGATCCTTTTGTTGCTTGTTTTTAATATTTGTTTCAGTATATATAAGTATGGGTTTTACTTAAGGACAGTGGTTCTCAAGCCTTTGGATCTCATCACCTCCTTAGATGTATAAAAATCATTGATGACTCTTAAGAACTCATTTACATGGTTGTGTCAGTATTTGCTATATTAGAAATTAAAAGAAAACATTTATAATAGTATCAGTTTCTTTTAAAATTACAATAAATAAAACCTTTACATGTTCAACCCTCTCAACTGTATTTATTTAGAGTTGTAGTTTCTGCTTAACAACAAGAAAAAGTAGTTGACCTGCTTTATAGAAAATGTTTTCCTCAAAGATAGTCAATAGAAAGAAAAGAGATTCGTGATTTATTTTAATCAACATAAAAAAAGATAGTGGGGTTGTATTTTTTTACCTTATTTCTGTTATCTTCCTTGATATGGAAATTGAATTGTGTTTTGCTTTTTTTGTCCTCCACCAGTTTGATTAATTACGAGGCTTTATAATTTCTTTTCCTTTATACTTACCACTGTAAATACACATTGTGTAGTTGAATAATGTCCCTGTGTGGGGTATTTATTGTGCTTGAGGGCACTATGAACATTCCTCATGGCTTCCTTATGTTCATTCCCCTCTGTTCCTCTCTTACGTGCTATTTGTATAGTAGACTTTCATCTGAGCATTTCTCTCTCGAGCCACATTTGATTCCTTTAACAGTTCTTGTTTTCTTCATTAATACTACCTGATGATCATGTTTTAGAATTTCCAAAGCCTTCCCCATCCCTCCTTTTGTACCTACTACAGAATTTTGAAATCTTCATTCCTTAGATTTAAAAGATAATCTTAAAAATAATGAAATGCCACATGAGTCACATTTGTGCATATTTTTTGATTGTTATTGTTGTGTTATAATAAATCCTAAATGCCACAATTCTTTCTCCTACATTTTCATTTGCTCGATCATGTGTCTGAATATTGTAGTAAACAATATAATCAAAAGCCCTGCCTTGGATTTTATATATTCTAATTGGAAGAAACAAACTAACATGTGCTCTGTGCCAAGTAACAAGTGTGGTGGAGAAAAATCAGGGGATAAGAGGAGTACCCTGTTGGGATCTAGTATAAATATGTGTCAGGAAAGGCCTTGATGACATGTAGAGATATAAAAGGAGTGAAGGGAACCAAGTAGATTCAGCCAAAGAAGCACTTGGTGTCAGGGTTCTTAGGTGGGCTTAGCATGTTTGACCCAAGAAGGCTTGAGTTCAGAGAACTAGGGAGATAGCAATTAAAAACAAGATTGGAGTAGCCAGTCTAGGCTAATGAGAGCCTGTCTTTAAAAAGGGAGGAAGGGGGAGAGCAGTGCTAATAATGCCATAAAACCATAAAAGTCATGGTAGAAGGATTTTTGCTGACATCATGTGCTGTTTCTCAGTATTCAGATTACCAGCTGAGCCCTGGCTGTTCAAATTCTGGCCAATATAACAATAATCGAGTCTTCAGATGGTATAAGAGAAAATTGGCAGCTAAGTTAAATCCATGACTTGATTAGGGATGCCTGCTTAAGCAGAATGGCATTCCAAGAGATATTCTGACACTGTGTTCATCATCACTCCTGTTGCAGAGCCTTGAGGTCTCCCTTTTCCTGCAGCGTTGACTGATCTTAGAACTGTACCTCTCTAGGCAATCAGCAAAGTGGCACTGGCTGAGGCTAAGTTAGAAAAGGGCCATCACTGCTTTTAGCTTAGTTCTCTTTTTCCCCCCCGGAACGTGTGCCTTTGGTGTCATGAGACCTAGTGTGAGAAGTTCAGTTCCTATGAAGCAGCCATGCTGGAGAAGGCATGTAGAGATCCAACTTCAAGGTGGAAGGAGGTGCCCACTTCAGGCTCCAGATACTTGGATCACCCCAGTCCAAGTGCCAGACATGTGAGTGAAGAAGTCCTTGAGGTTGACGCTTGGTTCTAGTCACCATTCAACTGTAGCAGCATGAGAGACTTGAAGTCAGAAGTGTTCCATTGAGTGCTTCCCATTACCCAACCACAGGAACTGGGAGATAATGAGTGACTGTTGTTGTTATAAGCAACTGAAAAAATAAAAATTCTCCTTTTTCAAAAGTAGAGGCTACTGATCTTTAAAATGATGTGTCTTTGGAACTCAATAAAAAATCGTATAAGAACAGTGTAAAAATTAGCAGTAGAGGTTGTATCTGATTAATATTTTCATGTCTTTTGTTCCTGTAAGCACATTTATAAAGAATAAACACATCCTATAAGTTCATTAAAACTTTATTGTGACTTATTTAGGAATAGTATACCTGCCTCCATGTATGAATTACCAACTACTATGTGAAGAACAAGTACTGTCTTAGTGAAGTGTATTTACCATTAAAACCATATTGAGCATTATTTAACATGTGGTACAGAATACAGTCTAGAGTCTTGCATTATGTGATTGTACTTTTCAGGTTTGTAAAAACTTGTGCCTAGCATGCCTAGTTATTTATTTTCTAGGCTATAGAATTATTATAAGAAATGAAGGACATTCTTCTCATCAAACGATTTTTCTCTTTTAAGGAAATGGGTCCTGATGAATATGAAGAGATGGAAGAGGAAGCTGAGGAAGAAGAAGAAAATGATGACTCAGCAGACATGGACGAATCAGATGAATCAGATGAGGATGAGAATGAATCAGATGAGGGTCAAGGAGAGGAGAGACAGAGGAGGGTCTTTGATGTTCCCATCCGCAGACGCCGCTGTTCGCGTCTATTTTAGCTGCTGCTGAAGGAAGCTCTGGGATGATTCTATCCTGTTAAATAGATCTGTCAATAATGTAAATAATTGTGCTCAGCATATAGCAGAACTAGCATGAGATATTGTTCCAGACCTAGCTTCTACATGACACTACATCAGGAGTTGGATTGCTTTGGTTTGTTTTGTGGTTGTAGGTAGAGGAAGAAATGGGAATATTTTGTTTTCTCTTCCAGGAGTCAGTGGAAGAGCAGTTCTATAGTTAAAGAACAGATGTTTCTTTGTTTAAAAATATTTTCTACTTAAAAAAACAAAAAACACAGAAGTAAAGGAAAAATTGTTTTGGATGAGGATTTTACATGTAGCAAAAATATACAAACAAGGGTAAAAAGAAACTATCTGAGGACTGTGAAAAGACCCATTTTTAGTTGTTTAGAAACTAACAAAATTTTTAATTACCTTAATCCACTTCATGGTTGTTAGTATTTTATACTCACAGAGAACTAATTGATTAACTTGAATGGGAATAGTTTGCCCTCTCTTGACAATCTGTCCTTGAATTTAGTCTTTGTTGTACAAACCCTGAGTTAACTTTAATGTCATCAACATGATAATTTTGGACTTTAAAAGTTAACGTTCTCACGCTATGACCTTTCTCACGTTATTTCCAGACTCATCATTTTAAATGTAGTTTGTAAAAGAATGTAGAGTGTTGTTAAAGACTCCTCACAATGTCTTCTAGAGTCTACATTTGTAAATACGCTTTCTGCTTTGTTCCTTTATATACATTTGTCTAACTGTGGTAAGTGATCAGAATTTTATGTTAGGGTTAAGGATATTTTCCTGAAACATGATTTTTTTTTGTAATTATATAATTGAGAGTTTGGAATGAAATCCTTCAAGTGTCAAAAACTCATATTTTAAAAATGATTTTGTCTAAGTGCCTATTTCCCAAAATCTAGTATTAAGCCTTTATTCTTAAGATAGAAGATGGCAAGTGTACTTGCTGGCTTGCAGCCAGAGTGTAGTAAGTCTGTTCTGAATTGTCTGCTGGTTTTGCTTATGCTTTTATTCTCCATCAGTTTTCCTCTAAACAGTTCTCTCATGAAGAAAATCTAGGAAAGAGCCATTTCAAGGCTAAGTGCATGCTCTTAGGGACCATGAACAAACTTGCCATTTTACGATGACAGATCAGAATATTCTAAGTCATTTTCCTACTTATTTTCCATAAAACAGTACAATCACATAGTGTTTCAACAAGAGAAGCCAACAGTAGCCTCATCTTGTGTACACCACATATGTGCTTGGTTAAATCTCACGTTTTTTTTGTTATGGTCCCAAAGCATACAAGATGTTGACAGTAAGTTGTCATCAGGTGACTGACCCAGAAATGAAATGAAAAGTGATCAAAGACTATAGAGGGGGAGAAAAGTCACGTAAGTCACTGATGGCTATTACTTAAGTCGGCCATTCCACCATAGCTATACCCTCAAAGAATAAGAACAAATGTGACATAAGCTGTTGGAGCATCTGCTTCATTGAAGGCAGTAAGTTAGAATAATTCAAGAAAGGTCAACATCAGATCTGGAGAACCTTGTAATGACCTGACAACACAAATGCATCCTCAACACCAGGGATGACCGCTGCCAAAGCAGGGTTTGTCCACAACATTGAGAAGACTGTAACTGACCAGGATGTCGGAGTTACTGAGAGCTCTGGGTGGTCTAAAATGATTGTTAGAAAATGAAAGTGAGTGATGAACCTGCAAACTTGGGTGTGAAGGTAGCTGACTAAGTTTTAGAAGCTAGAAAAGCCGATTGTGAAGGGCAGTTAATGCCAGAGAACAAACCTCTTCCATCTAGGTTTGTAGAAAATGCATTCTCGTATTTGCACAGTGACAAAATCACCTGGCAGTGCAGTCACCTGATGACTCAGTTCTTGGACTGTGTCCCCGTCATTAAGTGATAACTGTTACCAAACTGCCAAATACTGTTTGGACTATACCTTTTTAAAAATGGTTAATTATTTTCATTTAGATTTCCATATTTTATTTTTTGAGACAGAGTTTCTCTGTTTAGTCCTGGCTGTCCTGGAACTTGCTCTGTAGACCAGGCTGGCCTTGAACTCACAAGAAATCTGCCTTCCTCTGCCTTTCCAATACTGGGATTAAAGGCATGTGCACCACTGCCCCAGCAACAAAATACCTTTGATTGTAATTTACAGTAGAAAAAGCCAGGCTGATAACTCATACATGTAATTCCAATTTGAGAGGCTGATTGAAGTAGGAGGATCATATTGAGTTTGAGGCCAGCCTGGACTACAGAGTAAAAACGGTCTTTTAAAAAAAGAAAAGAAAGTTTAGTTCTGCAAGCTGAGAAGTCTTTAATAGTGCCCTTTTAAGGGCACTATTCTCACTCATGAAGACAGTCCTTATAACCAAATCAACCTAAGGTCTCACATCTCCATAAAGCTGTTATGTAGATTAGTTTCAACATAATGCACAGGAAGGGGGCATAGACATGATGGACATTTAGACCCTAGCATCAACCCACTTTAAAAAGGACGTTCCCAATAAAGCAGTAGTTAAGAACCATGTCAAAGTCGCCATGTCAGAGCTGTCCCATACTCCCTTGCTGTTCTTTGTACCCCTTTTTTCTCCCTAACGAATTGATGTCCCTATTGCTCTTGAACCCTGTCTAATGTTTGTATGTCACAGTGCTTCAAGACTGTGATTTTCAAGCCACCCTTCAAAAATTGCTGCCTTAGTATATTTCACAGGCTTTGTTACATTATTTTTCTTGGAGAGAGGACAATAATTAACCAAAGATTCCATCCAAGCCCAGTTGATGGACCCATAAGTTCATCAGGATTACTAACGGGAACACGGATTATTGACAGCTGCAACTGAGAAATAACAGCCTTCTGAAGGGCTTGCAAAAAAAAAAAAATCTCTGCATGTTTGAAGTCTCTTCTAGCAAGTGTGTACTGCTTGTATAACCTCTGGAAGGGGTCTTCGGTCATAAATTTTAGTCTTGTACCTTCTCATGAAACAAGATGTTGACAGTAAGTTGTCATCAAGTGACTGACCCAGAAATGAAATGAAAAGCGATCAAAGACTATAGAGGGGGGAGAAAAGTCACGGAAGTCACTGATGGCTATTGCTTATTAAGTCGGCCATTCCATCAAAGCTATACTCTCAAAGAACAAGAACAAATGTGACTAGCTGTTGGGGCATCTGCTTCATTGAAGGTAATGTGTTTTATGAGACTTCCCTGCTCCCTCCAGGAGGCTATGTTTATATGAGTAGGAATTAGCTGTACAATAAACCTCCAGGTCACACTAAGGTGTGATTAGTTGATAAGCTTCTATTAGTTACATTGCCAACATTCTTAGAAAAAATTTTAATGTGTATGGGTGTTTTGCCCTCTGTGTGTATCTGTGCACTACCTGCATGCCTGGTGTCTCTGCAGGCCAGAGGTCATTGGGGTCCCCTGGGTTCTAAAAATTGAAACTGGGTCCTCTGGACGAGCAGTCAGTGCTATTAACTGCTGAGCCATCCTCCTAGACTCTCACTAAAAGGAATTTAACCATTGACAAAGTCCACTTGCAGGCCTCTTGAGAACACATTCTTTTACGTATTTGTCTGAACCTCAGGATTAGACAAAGCTAAATTAACCATAGCTTAAATAGTTTGGTTCTTAAAGAAAACTCAAAGATAACTAGTTCAGGACTGATATGGCACAATGTCATCAATGTTCCAGATCCAGATGTGTTCCAGGTTTCTCTTTCCATCCTTAGAACAAGACCTTAAAAAAAAAAAAATTTCATGTAGTCCAGGCTGGCCTGAAACTTGTGGTCTTTTCTAGCTCATGTGCTGAGATTCCAGCTGTATGCTACATGCCTGGCTTAAAAGGGCAACCAGCCATACGTATTCAAGGAAGAATGAGAAAGAAAAAAGGCAAGATGTTAAAGAGGCAAATAAACTGGGTCTCTAACAGTAATGTGGTTGAAGGGGTCTAGAATGCAGGGATTAACAAGGAGGTCTGCTGTGAAGGAGTCAATGACCCAGGCAAGCCACAGACCAGAATTTAGGGCAGTAGCAATTGGGGAGTGGAATTACAATACGGAAATGGTAAGTAGGCCTGATAAGTTAGTAGATACAAAGGAGTAGAGGAAAAACATCGATTTCCAGGTTTCTGGTTTTATAAAAAATAAAATGGCAGGAAATCAGTCATTGGAGATGACATTTGTATACATTCTTTGAGTTCAGGGACATAGAGATACATAGCAGATGACTAGATGTGAATATGAAGATGAGGTTGGATGTATCAGTTTTTGTGAACATATACTCCCAAAGTAATAATAAAGTAGCATGGATGTACTAAACTCCAAGGGCAACAACTCAGTACTAGGGATACTATTGCTGTGATAAAACACCATGACCAAAAGCAAGTTGGGGAGGAAAGGGTTTATTTGGGTTACACTTCCAGATACTATTATTGAAGGAAGTCAGGACAAGAACTCAAACAGGGCAGGGATCCAGGGGCAAGAGCTGATTCAGAGGCTGTAGAGGAGTGCTGCTTACTGGCTTGTTTCTCATGGCTTGTTTAGCCTACTTTGGCTCTCCCCCACCAATCACTAATTAAGAAAATTCTCTACAGGCTTGCCTGAAGCCCAATATTATGGAGGCGTTTTCTCAATTGGTGTTCCCTTGTCTCAGATGACTCTAGCCTGTGTCAAGTTAACATAAAACTAGCCAGCATACCGAAGAAAAAAGAATCTCAAAAATAAAGTCAAGAAATTGGTAGCAAAATACTTAGCAATTTTAGAACTTAGGGGCATTGAATTCTAAAAGAGAATAGATCATAGGAGATATACTGGGCAATGTATACAAGACAATGAAAGGGCTTTGGATGCAGGCATGCCTTAAATATCAAAGCAGTCCTGAGTCAAAGTCTCATTTGCATGGAGGAAAACCAGGATCTGGATACTACTGATCCTGGAACTCAGCAGAGGATCTTGATAAAAGGCACATGCCAAAGGTTTTATGATTGTCCCTGCAAGATACTCACTGTCTATAGTTTCACTCCCTGCTTGTGATACTGGCTAGCAGGTGTTTGTTCCACCCCCTCCCCCTCACCCCCTTTGTTGTACAGGACTATCCTCCAAACTGCTTCCACCTGCAGTTCAGTTGTGTTTACTTGCAAAAGATCATCTAGTTGGCCCTGTTGTGACTGTTTACCCCTAGAGCTCCTAGAGGGGTGAGGAAGCTCACAGAGCCTCACTGACTACCCAACTGCTCCATTTCACATGCTAGGCAATGCTGCCCTAAAAGCATGTGGCTTCAGGAGGGGCTAGACTATTCAAGCTTGGGAAGGCTAAGGCAGGGGATCCTCTATGTGTCTGAGGGAAAGACACCATTTCTACTAGCTAATGACTTTCCAGTGTGACCTTGGGAGGGAGAGCACCCACACTCATTTAGAAAACCTATGCTTTGTAAGAAAACTGAATGAATTCGTAGGTTCATCAGAGTGAACTTTGGTGAAATTGTGGGTAGGTTTGTTTTTTACTTTTGGAGGAGCATAGGTGATGCTCACTATCACTCCCACCCCCACCACTGAAATGGGGAAGGATTTCAGCAACAATCCCATCAAAGGATTTGCTTATTGGTAAACCTTACAAATTTCCAGAGTAGAGAAAGGGCCAGGAACTGGGGAGATGACCTACTTTTTATATGTGTTTGGGGTGTTCTACTGGTTTGTGGTTTTCCCCCCCTTTTTTTTTTTTTTTTTTTTTTTTTTTTTTTTGGCCTAAAGATGTCTGAGCTTCTTCTTCAGTGGGGATTGAAGCTCATTCTCTGTATTTGTTGATAGGCTAGCCTTCTGCTATATCCCAGCCTCCTTTGCTCTTTAGGATGTGGCAGGTACAGAGAGAACCCACCACATGCCAGGGGGAATGGAACATGTTATGGAAGAATAGATACTGTTGTGCCCAGACTCTGAACCCCCCCAACCACCAAGAGACCAGATCTGATGCAAAAGCAGTCTTTTTAATTACAAGTTAACTTGGGTCCTCTGTCTGTATGACACAGGGGTGAAGTAGGAGGGACCCCAAGCAGTGGGGCAGGGCATGTATTGGGGGTAGAGCAAGGGGAGTGTGTGTGGGTCTGGTAGTTGCATAGTAACAATCTCAGGATTGGCGCAACTCCAGGATGGGGGAACCTGTCCTGAATTGGTCAGTTGCAGCTGAGGAAAGGTGGTTATGCCTAGAGGCTCTCCAAAGGCTATTGCTACTGCTGCATTCCACTGTGATCAGTAAAACACATCCAGAGCCTGCCAGCTAGCTTCTGATTGGTTCCCTACCATATGGTGGGTATCTGATAGTTTCTCTCCAGTAATTAGGGTAAGGGGGTGGGCAGCACATCCTGCTGAATCAGGGGCCTACCTACATCTTGCTGGGTATTTTTTGCAGCCTGTCATGACTGCCAAAGCAGGGGACTGGGTGAGGGTCTGGGCCCTTCATTACTTCTGGGGGAAAACAAACAAAAAAACCACAAAGAAATGAAAATTTACTTCTTTTGGGAAGGGGCAGGGCTAAGAGGCAGGGTTTCTCTGTGGCTTTGGAGGCTGTCCTGGAACTAGCTCTTGTAGACCAGTCTGGTCTCGAACTCAGGCTTGCCTCTGCCTCCCAAGTGTTGGGACTAAAGGCATGCGCCACCACTGCCCGGCGAAAATTTACTTCTTATTGCTGAGGGCAGAAAGCCTTTAAAAAAAAAAAATTCTCTAACTGGATTATTGTTTCCTTTCTCTCATCCAGGACCTATGGCCTAACTTGGATTCTTCTCCTTGAATGCTTCCCTTTCCAACTCAACAGAAAGCAGGCCTGAGATGCTGCAGCTTCATGGACTGATGCTCAAAGAGTACCTCCTGTTCCCCTAAGTAGCCAGCCTCTTGGAAGATTTACTCTTTTTAAAATTATTGTTCTTGTTACTTCTTTACTGGATGTGACTTTCCAAATAAATGGCAACTTCCCATTACAATTTCACGTGAAGGTATAAGCGTTAGTTCTGGTCCCTGACCAGTCCACAAAAGCACGATGAAATTTTGTCTTGATTGCAAAGAAAACACTCCGCAGCTGTATCTGAAGACTATTTGAAGGTTGTTATAACTTGAGAGCAGGAGCAAGTCACCATTGTAAGTGCCTGGAAAGATACTCATGACCGACTGAGAGAGCTCTGGGCGCTAGCAAACATGGGCACAAAAACACTTTGGGAAGTAAGTTTTTATTTTTTATTTTTTATTTTTTTAGAAAGGGAAAAATCAAAAACCGTTTGAAGTAAGAAATCGGAGACTCAGGCCATTTCTGTTCCCTGGGTTTTGAGAGTCTAGTCATGTTCTCTCTACCTGAGGTAAAGGCTGCGACCCAAAATAGCTGCTGGGGGAGGGGTGTGTGTGTGGTCATCAGTTCTTGGGAGTGGCCAGAGGAGCTCCGTATCTGTCCAGCCAACGGGCGGAGCTCTAGCGCTAGCGCTTTCTGCGTGAAAAATCCTCGGGCTCTAAGTATCGGCGGTGGTAGTGTCTAGAGGACTGCGAGGTGGCAGGTAAGCCAGGGCGCGGAGTCGGCTGTAACCGAGCCTGGGGTGAGAGGTGGGGGTGCTTCGGGAGCGCATGCGTCCGGGAGTAGTGGGGGGATGGGTGCGGTAAGCTGTCCTTGTTCCTTCTCCCTCGGGAGGCCTCTCCCAGGCTTGCAGTTCGAGATACCTCTCCCAGGCTTGTAGTTCCTCCCTCCTTCTTTATTTAATGAAGATATCCTGCTGCAGGCCGGTTCCCGAAAGCCCGGACTCTGCTTTCCACGCACGGTCCGGTAGCTCGACATTCCCTCGGCACCTGACTCCGGGGACCGCCCCACGGCTCAGAGGAGGCAGACGCAGGGGAACCGAGGGCTAACCTCAGCCTCGATGACTTACCGCCTTTCTTCTGGCAGAGGTCCACATTTGAAACCGCTTTAGCAGATATCTTTGGTGCGTGGGCCGGTGCCACCCTTCAGTCTCAGGGCGGACTTTGTAAAGAACCGTAGAAAGTGAGTGTCATTTGTTTTCGTCCGTAGGTAGTCGAAGCAGCTGTTTAACCTTGGTTTCTCATCAGCAAAGGGGAAAGCCTTACTTTCCTAGGGTGGTGGTGAGCACTAAGGTCGCCTACGGAGAAGCTCAGGTTGGCCTCTGGGAATGTGGAGAACAGCAATTGTTTAGACGACGCCAACCCCAGGGCCGTCTTTTCGCCACTTCTCCAGGGCAGACACGCAGACGACAGAATGTCAATCGAGGGCGTCCTCGACATTTGCTGTTAACAGTCTGCGGAAGCTAAGAAGGTGTTCACTCATTATGCACCAAACAAGCTGAAAATTGTTTGGCATGTACTTTGCTGTATACGGGAAACCTTCCATTTCACTGGGTGGGTTGAAAGAGAAACCCCAATCAAACGGGTTTTAGGGTGGCAATTCCGGGATGAACCAGGGATTTGGGGTCCTGGAACAAGTTGCAAAAAGAGGGAGGTGAAGCTGAAGTTTTGTGCGATTTTAAGAGCACAGGTCGGGGTGGGAGGGTGTTTCTCGGGGCCACTAGGTGGCTGGGAGGGGCTTTTCCATTGTGATGGTGGTTTGCTCTTTGTCCCTAGCTGTTGATGTAATTACTGCTTGGAACTGGGTAAGGAATCTTTGGGTTTCTGTTACATGCTTAGCTACTGCATGCCCAAGCTTGTAAGGACATACAATCTGCAGGCTCACGAGACTGCTAACATTAGAGTATATTAAGCCACTTAGTTCCCACACCTTGGTAAGTACAAGCAATAAGCATCCAAAGTGATTTTTTGACTATCCTGTTGTCTTGGGGCAGGTAATCCCATACCTCTGGCTCTCTATGAACTTCCTATAAAATGGCAATGTTGTAGTTTTATTTTATATCACTTGCTTAGCCTTAAAGTACATCAGCCCCAAGCTCTCTGGAGTTGCAACTACCCCCAGGGCCAGAGCTGTCTGTGAATCCTATGGAAACTGCTGGTGTTAAAATCTCTACTCTGGCTGAGGTTGTGGCTCAGTGGTGGTGTTGCATTTGGGTTCCATTCTTAGTATTGTAAAAGTAAGAGAAAGAAAGGAAAGGGGGGAAGGGACAGAGAATCTCATGCAGTTTTTTGTTTGCTGAATTTATTTTGGAAGCCCAATTACAATCTCCATATACCTTCATGATTCCAAGCTCAACTCTATGCTTGAGATGATGTCTCACTATTTTCCAGTAATGAGACTGCTGGCTATAGCATGTTTGAGGGGTTGTTTGTTTGTTTGTTTGTATTCAGAGTCTAGATTTATTGACCAAATGGGTATAAAACTCTTGGGTTTGTGTGATCTTCCCATCTCAGCCACCAAAGTAGTTGGGACTATAGGTACGTGCCATCATGCTTGACTTTATATTAGAATTTTTTTTCTTGCTACCAAATGAATAAAAAAATAAGCTTAAGACAACACAAATCTTGCACTTCCTTCATCTACCTGGAGTCTGATTAGGGGCAGGCTTCATTCCCTCACGAAGGCCCCGAGGGTTCCAGGCCCTTACTCATTCAAGTATTGGCGGAATGAAGCCTTTGTGACTGGAGAACCCAGGTCTGATTTCCTTGAGAGGTGTCAGTTAAGGAGCATTCTCGAGGCCCTGAGGATGCCATGGCCAATAGAGCTCTTCCTGTCCTCAGGGTTAGCCATATTAGGATGAGTTTCTCTGTTCTTCACTCCCAGTTGCTTATGTGCAAGAAGTGCTTATGTTTACCTTATAATATTGTTGTAAGGATTAACTACATTGTTCCGTCAGGAGCCCTAGCAGTGGCCTGTAATATTTGCCCCCCAAAACAGAAGTTAACTAGCAATCAAGCTTAATGGCCCGCTTGGTAACAAGTATCAAGTGGTGTAATTGTGTGGGTCCTGCAGAACACAAAAGACACTTCTAATTATTTAATTAGCACTAACATCTCATTTTACAGCCCTGCTGAGAGAGTCACTTTCAACACTTGGGCTAGGTCACTGCAACCTACTGGTTCTCAGTGTGGTCAGGAACATCTGCAGTCCTTGGGAACTGTGAACAACAGTACAAGCTGTTACGCTATAGACTAGGCGTACCCAGACTCAGGTCCAGTGATCTGTTCATCCTCTGCTTGATCTACATGGTCATAGACACTGAGAACCAGTGTCCAAGCCCTCTTTTATGTAAGTGCACCACACATCTACCCCAAACATTTTCAGCAACTTGGTCATTCCAGCTTGTTGTCCCTTTTGAATTTCCCTTGGATGGCAATGAATAAGTAATTGTCAGGTTGGAATTGTTATAGAATGAAAGTTCTTACTACAGCAGTCTTTAGACTTTGCCTCTTTAAAAGTTTTAAAGTTACATTTATCTCTTCATTTGTTGTATTAATGTGGTCTCCCTTGTGGAGACCAGAGGACAACTTTCAGGAGTTGTCCATATGGATCCTGGGGATTGAACTAAGATCCTGAGGCTTGGCAGCAAGTACCTTTACCTGCTGAGCCATCTCGAAGACCCTGTTTGTTTGTTTTTAACCTCTTACAGTCTTCTAAAGGGCTCTTGTAGCATCTCTGCTTTATGACCTCCACTGTCTGAATATTCCCAAGGGCTAGAGAACAATTAGAGGAATTACTTTCTGATGTGCTGATACACTGTGGCCAGCCTGCATGTGGCAAGGCAGTTAAGGGATTTGTGTTTAGAAAAATCAGAGTGCAGGTTGGGGATGTAGATCAGTTGGGAAAGCACTTTCCTGGAATATCCACAATGAATCCCCCTCATTGGTCCTCTATCTTAGGAAACATGTAGAATAACCTCTTCTCTCTTTCTCTGCAGCCCTTCTATTTGAAAACTAACTGTCTATATAACAGCCCTGGTCCCACCAGCCTTCCCCCTGGCTCCAACATTGCTTGTTTTTCTGTCCTAATTCACTGAAAGAAATTCAGAGGTGTAGTGCCTTGACTGAAAGTGTAATTTCCAGGTCAGGTCTGAGCCCAGAACAGACTTTGTCAGAGACCTCTAAACTGGGCTCAGAAGCCCAGATCTTTACCAGATCTGTTTGATTCTTTCCAGTTTTTTCCAATTACTTTGTCAACTCTTCATCCCAGAGCAGATGTGGGGAAGGGATTATGTATATTCCCACAGTGTTGTTTATGTTGGGTACCTTTCTGCAGGAAGTTGTCTGGCGTTGGACGCTCTTGCAGACCTGATATCTACAGTGTCATTGGGATCCAGGACCACCTTCCCTCTATCCCTAACGCCAGTGCCTGACACAGCTGGTCCTCACCTTCAGAAGGCATCGAGGCACTCCTGTGTATTTGAGGACTTCTGGTCAACACTCTCCTCTCTTTGCTCCCTTGTAGCAGTTTTCCATACCCCAAGTCCCGCCTAACCTGAGTCTATAAATCATCATTTGTACTCAGAATCCTCCTAGCATGAGTAACTAAGCAGGAAGCTGGCAGCATGCTGAGGGAATTGGTACTCCACTGGTAAGGAAAGGACCAGGCCCTGTTTGTCTTTGAAATACACACACCCATGGTGGCTCAGCCCAATTTCTACAATGGACAATGTAGAAATTTCCTGTTTAAGTTTCTTCATTTCCCTCTGACCTTGGTCAGCAGAGTACCTTTAAAGATATGAGACTGATGACACACTGCACACACCCAGAACCTTTTCTAACACTGAAGACATGGGTATTTTACCCCACCGCATATCCCCTTTGTCTGCCAGGCCTGAGCCTTGCCTTGTAGTCTCAGAAGAAAAAACATGTAGAACCCTGTGGTTTAAATGACTAAGTTTCTTAAGGGTAAGAGGTGGGTGGAGTAGAGTTCCTGCCCCAGCCTTTCTTCACTAGGTGAGATCTTGAAGCAAGAGGAGAGGACCAAATGTCACAGCCTTACTCAGAACTGCCCTGAGTTAATGCGCCCTACCCCAGTGGAGGTTTCATGCCTGTTCTTTTAGCCTTCTGTACTTTTCCCAAGACAACCTTGGACTCTAGCTTGTGGTTTTGGAAATAGCTGGAAGGCATATGTCAGTGACAACTCTTGTTCATTCCAGATTTGGTGGACAGGCACAATGGAAGTTCAAAGGCTACTCATCTTACCCCTGCTTCTTCTGGCTACCCTCTGTTCTACAGGTGAGTGATCAGAACCTCTAGACTGTCCTTGGCCACGATGCTACTTTTCTTGGTCCTCTGGGAGTCTGAGCCACTGCCCCTGGCCTCCAGGCCCTCATCAAGGCCTAACTTTGGTTTCTTTGCTTCAAGCATTCTGGATCCTGCTTGTGTGACAACTCTGATGTTTTGGGGTGCCTTCCATGGGGTGTCTGCCTGAGTTAAAGCCCACCCTGAGTTACAGAGCTGGGTTTTTGGTTTTTGTTTGCTTGTTTTCTTTTTAAAACAGAGAAATGACAAAATTGAGACCCAAGAGGGTTCCGAATTTATGAACTAATGCTGACAAGGGATTTTTGAATGATTGAAATAATACTCAGAAGTAGCATGTCAGAATGTGACTCCAATCTGCCACTGGAGTTCCTGGTTTTTACTCTTTTGTGGTTATTCCCAGGCTATTGCTGTAAAGACCATCCATTTCTGGGACCCTTCTCCTGGCTTCTGAAGAAATCTGTTCTTACTCTTCTATAACAATGGCAACACTCACATTGTGTTATTATAAAGGTCAAGTGTTGCCAGGTGGTGGTGTTGGAGGTGGTGGTGGTGCACACCTTTAGTCCCAGCATTTGGGAGGCAGAGGCAGGTGGATCTCTCTGAGTTAGCCTGGTCTACAGAGGGACTTCAGGACACGCTTCAAAGCTACACAGAGAAAACATGTCTCCAAAAACAAAAACAAATTATTTTCTGCCTGTGACATATTCTTATAACATCCTAGTCATTATTGGCTTTGGTAGTGGGGAAGGGAGAACAGGGATTGAGGTGGGAAAACCAGCAACTCTGTGAGGTCAAGCCTGTCTACATAGTGAGTGTCAGAACAGCCAGCACTACATAGAAAGAACCTGTCTCAAAAAACAAACTAAACAAAAACAATACATGTTCGTCACTGGTAAAGTCACTGACAGACCTTCACACTGCTCGTTGTAAGCCTCAGCACAGGCCCTCCCTCAGAGCCCTAACTCTCCGCAGTCTGTTTTTTGTTTCTTTTGTCATTTTTTGAAGGATTTTTTTTTTTTTAAATCATGCTGGCTCTGTCTTATAATTCTGTGTTTGGGCTTTTGGGCTCTTTTTTTTGTGTGGCTAATTCAAGAGATCAATAAATCATGGCAAGTCAGTTGTCTTCCTGCCACCGAAATGGATTCTCAGTCTGAATGCAAAGATGATAGCCCATTGTCATTTTGAACACTTAAACTAGCTTTTCCTGGAATTTCTGTCTTAGTTACCATCAAAACAAAAACAGAAGTCTCATCTCAAAAGGGACAGAGATAGTTTATTCTGGAACCAAATATGAACCAAGGCCTGGGAAGACAGATTTAGGTTACCCCAAATTCCATGTTCCAACATTGAAGCAGTTTGATGAGATTTTGTGGCAACAGAACCAAGAAAGTCATAAATCAAGATGCTATTGGAATACACTGGTGGAAACATTAGGTAGATGGGTTAAAGTCAAGTAGGGACCTCTGTTATAGACCTCAGATGCCCTCTGGCTGTATTCCATAGCCTTCTGGTTGGTTAGAATCCAGTATTCAGTCTGTATATACCAAACAGTTTACCTAATGGTCACAAAAGCTGGTTGGTCAAGTATAGAGAGAAGCCATAAATAGCCAAGGAATTTGGTACTGGATTTCACAATCCAGTTAAGACTCCAGTGTTTGTTGAGGAACTTTCATTCACAGTATTGAGCCGTCTCAAATGTGTCAAGGGTATAGCAGGGTCTGAAGGGAGAGGGGGAACTTCAAAAGGCTTGGAAAAGCAAGGACATTTGTTTTGAGGAAGGAAATAAGGCAGGGAGTGAGGGAGATGTATCTTGTACTGTGGAGAAATGAGGATGGAATCTAGAAGAGGAATGTGAAGTATGGAGGAAATGGACGGGAAATGTGCCCTTTGATCTCTTACGTCTCTAAGCAACTTGGCAATTGTTATTCGTTTGGAATCCAAACTCCTAGGTGGTTGACTTTATGAACTCTAACTAGCTCTTTAGGCTCCGTGGAGCAGCAAGAGGTCCCAAAATCAGCTTAGAACCCAGTTATTTGGAGACCGGAGTTCCTGCTCCTCCTGGATTCAGCATTTCTTTCCCTGAAGTCTTGGGGTGGAGGTGGGGCCATGCCTAGGGCACCTGTCCCAGAGTCACAGACATCCTCCTGGTGGTGTGCTTGCTAGTATCTGTTATTACTGGAGGGAAGCATGGTCGGGTTAGCCACTGGTTCTAACCTAACAGGCATTTCCTTCCTCAGGTGAAGGGCACCAGAGGCTAACTGCTTCCTCTAAAGTAGTTGGCTGGTTGTTATGAGGAATGTCTTTTTGTGTTGTTTTCCTATCAGCTGACCAGGGACTGTATTTCCCTGAATCTCCCTCTTGCCTCTTTGTGCTGGATTAACCAATTGTGTCACATTGTGAAATTGAGTTCCCACCAATAGGATGAAAGGCTGTCACCTACCTATGTTGGGGTGAAAAATGGAAGTGATTTTGGAGAGGGCATTTGCTAGGAGGGAGGGAAAAAGAAAGAAAGAAGAAAGAAAACAAAGGACTTGCTGAGTTATTTTTGCTTTGTTCCTTTTCCCCAACAGTTATGCACTTCCTGGTTTAGACGGTTACTGTATCAATTCAAGGGTGGTTGAGCCTCAGGGAAAAGAACTACCTCCCCCACTCCCCCCCCCCACACACACCCAGAAACTCAGTCACAGTGGAAGTAGGAAGGGGGCTATTTGGGGAAAGGAAAGGGTTGGGGGAAGTGGTAAGGGGAAGAGTGAGTGTGCTCACAATACATTGTATATATGTATGAAATTGTCAAAATTTTAATCAAAAAATAAAGCCTGGCAGTGGTGGCACACACCTTTAGTCCCAGCTCTCAGGAGGCAGAGGCAGGCAGATCTCTGTGAGTTCAAGGTCAGCCTGGTCTATAGAGCGAGTTCTGGGATGGCCAGGGCTACATAGAGAGACCCTGTCTCTACCGGACAGAAAAACAAACAAAGATTAAAAACAAGCTGACCCAGATCTGTGCTTGCTGGTGAGGTCTGCCTGAGCCATTGCTGGTTTAACAGAACCCAACAGTCTTTCTCTCTGACTCTAGGTGTTAGCCTCAAATGCTACAGCTGTTTAGACCCAGTTGCCTCATGCAGAACGAATGCCACTTGTTCAGTTAACGTGGATTCCTGTCTGGTAGCTGTATCAGGTAAGGACCCCTGGGTTTCTGGTCTAAGTGTGGTCAGGGGTGAGAACCTGGGAAACCTGGACCTCCCTAAATCTCACTGCATTTGTACTCACCAAGTAATGGCTGCTATTTACCAACACCAGCTTGTCATGAAGCACAGGACACTAAGCATTTCCTATATCCTGTTTGTAAATATAGCATTTCTCACATAACCCTCAGGGCAGTCTTCCTGTGTGACAGATGAGAAAGCAGAGGCTCATATAATACAACAGGCAAAGGTCAGGCAATCAACATAGGATTTGCATTTGGGAATTTATCTGATTTCAAAACTCAAGCTTCTTAATAGTGATAGTATACTTGCCTTCCAGACTTCTGGGAGTCTCCAGTGTGCCAGGGTCCTAGCTAAGGATGCAAAAAATGAAAGTACGCATCAAAGCCTTGACTATGGCCTATTTGCCTGTCTCAAATGACTGTTTAGACCTCTGTCTAAACATATGTATCTATGGATATGGAGTCCTGAGGGGACACAGGATGAGCTCAATGGATAATAAATGTCACATGTATAATAAGGAATATTATCCATTTGAGAGGCCATTGCAGGTGCCCGGAAGAGTGGCCTCAGAGAACAAGGCATTTATGAGCGAGGGGAGGAGCATAGTGTGCAAAGCCCATATCATCTGCTTTTCCAAGTTGGCTGGACTATGGAGTCTCCACTTAAGAATGTAGGAAATGGTAGACACAGAAGAAGCCAGCAGCTATCCTTTGTTTTTGGTGGCTATAGCTCTAAGCTAGGTGACTGTGTGTGAGTAAAGATAGTAGGTGCAATGGCCATCTCAGTATGGTCTGGTGGATGAGATAAAACCCTTTCTAAGAGATAAGAATTAAAACCGCCTTCAAGTACATTTTCAATTAAGTAAGGACCCATCAAAGGTACCTTGTTTTAAAAAAACAGGAGCACCTGATAATTTTTTGTGTAAATTTCTGGACTATGGCAAGAAGTCTAGGCCTTATGTTCAAAGTGTTTGATTCCATGGGGGAGGAGGGCAGTCCTCCACACCTTCACTGCTAATGTAGAAAATGTAGAATGGCCCCATGAGTACTAACATCATTTCATTTTTTTTCTTTTATGTTATTGAAAAATTTTTTCACTCAATATGTTTTGGTTCATTTCATTTTCTTGATCTTAGCCCTCCTTATTGGAATGAAGTCATATTTTTCTCTCTGTCTCTCTGTCTCCATCACTATGTAGTAAACAAATTCATGAGTAGATTTTGTTTTTAAGTGCTTGCTTTACAAATAGTATTGTCTCTTTTCCTACACTGTAGATGTAGAATTGATTGATCAGAGGCTACATGTGTTTAAAATCTTAGTAGGAATCACCAAGTTTCCCTCTTAAATAGAAATATAACTGCCTATACCCCCCCCACACACACACACTTGCACACTGGCTGTGACAGGATTTATGGGGCATTCTCCATTTGGAGGTGTGCCATCACTTTTGATTGTTCCCTTTTACACCTCAGTTGGGATGCCTATTTCTGCCCAAACTTCTCTATCCCCATAGGCTAAGCTCCAATACAGAATGGCAGGTTCAAAACTGCACCTGTGTGGTTTCTTAGCGTATGTGTGTCTCTCCACAGGAAGACAAATCTATCAACAGTGTTGGAAATTTTCAGAGTGCGATGCCAAGACCCTTTTGCACAAATTAGGCCTGGCAAGTGTAGAATACAGATGCTGCCAGGTGGACCTATGTAACAAAAATCTCAAAGGAGGAGGAAATGAAGGAGGAAATGGCGAGGGTTCAAAAGCCACCTCCTTATCCGGGAAGACTGTGTTGCTGGGGACCTCAGTTCTGGCAGCCATCTGGAAGCTGTGTCTCTAATTTACCACTGAGTCCCAGAGTGCCTCTGTTCTCTGTCTTTTTTGCTGCTACTGCTGCTGCTGCTGCTGCTGCAGCACTTCAAAGCTGTTATTATTTTCTGTTATATCCTTTTGGGAAAGAATAAAGTTTATTTGAACACCATGGATAAGAGGAAGCAGTGTGGAGGACTGGCCTGCACAAAGGAAAGGTCCACCTTAAGTTTAAGGAGGACTGGCTTTCTGTTTCATCTTACGTGGGCTTTTGGCAACCCTCAGGGACATCCCTCTGGTTCCTAGAATGTAGTTGAGAAGTTCAGACAGTACCTTTAGGAGTGAGTAACCAGGGGGATTCTTTTCGCCATTCTGTCACACTCACGGCCTTTGCAGATCCTGACTTGGTGTGTGAATATTCCAGATGTGTTCAGTCAGGGGCAGTTGTAGCACCAAAAATAAAAGACCCAGAGACAGATATTGGGGTTTAAGCTTCAAAATGAAGACCAGAGAAGCAAAGCAGCCAAGCCAATTGATATTACCTCTACCCAGTTGAAATGGTAGTCCTGTCTCCACAAATCCTCAGGGGCAAAAGGCTCCTAGATCCTGTCTCTTCCTCCTTATATTCTTTCCTCCGCCCAGCCAAATACTGCTGTCTCCATCCCAGGTGCTGAGATCAACTTTATGTGAGCTGTTTCTTTTAGCACTGGATCAATTTTGTGAAGTCTGTGTGGCCCTTGTGTGGCTTTGAACTAACAGAGATCCTCCCTCCTCCTCCTCCTCCTCCTCTTCCTCCTCCTCCTCCTCCTCCTCCTCTTCCTCCTCCTCCTCCTCTTCCACCTCCTCCACCTCTTCCACCTCTACCTCCTCCTCCTCCTCCTCCTCCTCTTCTTCTTCTTCCTCTTCTTCTTCTGATTTGTTTATTTATACACTGTTCTGCCTGCATGTATGCCTGCATGCCAGAAGAGGCACCAGATCTCATTGTGGATGGCTGTGAGCCAATTTGTGGTTACTGGGAATTGAACTTAGGACCTCTGGAAGAGCAGCCAGTGCTCTTAACTGCTGAGCCATTTCTCCAGCCTGATCCATCTACTTCTTAATCCTGAGTCCTGGGATTAAAGGTGTATACTATCACTGCTTAGCTTCTATAGCTAACTAGTATGGCTGCTTTGCTATTTTGATCTCCAGTGGCTTTAATAAATTATAAACAATAGGCAGTGATGTTGTTTGTTTGCTTGTTTGGAATGAAACCCAGATCTCTGAGCATAAGACAAGTGCTGTACCCTTAAGCCACACTCCCAGCTCAAGCCTGTTATTTTAGCACTCGCGAGGCAGAGGCTCCTGCCATAAGTTCAAGGCCAGTCTGACCACATAGTGAATTCCAGGTCACCCAGAACTATATAGTAAGACTTTGCCTTAAAAAAAGAAAGGAAGGGAGGGAGGGAGGAAGGAAGGAAGGAAGAAAGGAAAAGTCAAAGTAAAAGAAAACCAAAACAATAACAAAAAAGGAAGAAGGAAACACAAAAAGTCTGTCTGTCCTTTTTGTAGAAGTATCAGTGACTACAATTTGAGTTTTCCTGAATCTCTAAATTTTACATGGGATTTCCTAACTTTTATTAGGGAAATGTAATTGCCTATAATAATGCTTTATTAAAATTATTCCCTCTCATTTTTTTTTCTGAGAAAAGTAGATTGTTGACTTTGCTCCACATGATGAAATAATAAACGGCCTTGCCATATGACAGAGGCATGTAAGTGTGTTTTTTTAAGCGTCACCTAGCAGGAAGACCCTTCATGTGTGCATGCGTGCAGGATGAATGCAGTGGAACAGACTGTGGGCTGTCATTTGAGATGTCCAAATGTTTTTGGGAATAGCAGTTGGACAGCAAGTATGTTCTACCTGCCTGTCTCCAGCCCGTCGGCTTCTCGGTGATTCAGTACAGTTCACACACAGCACATTTACCATGGCTGTTAACACAGAAATGGCAGGACCCTGGAAGTGTTTTTCTTTACAACATCTTTTTTTAAAAAAATTATTTTAGCTGGGCGTTGGTGGCGCACGCCTTTAATCCCAGCATTTGGGAGGCAGAGGCAGGCAGATCTCTGTGAGTTCAAGGCCAGCCTGGTCTCCAGAGTGAGTGCCAGGATAGGCGCCAAAGCTACACAGAGAAACCCTGTCTCGAAAAACAAAAAAACAAAACAAAAAAAATTATTTAAATAATGTTTTTTTCTCATTTATTTTATATACTGACCTCAGTTTCCCCTTCCCTCCTTCCTCTCCTCCCCTTCCTCTTGTCCCCACCTCAACAACCCCTTCTGCCTATCAGCCTCCACACCCACTCCTCCATCTCCATTGACAAGGGGCAGGCCTCCCATGGGCTTGAACAAAGCAGAGCACACCAAGTTGAGGCAGGACCAAGCTCCTCTCCTTGTCAAGGCTGGGCAAGGTAATCCAGCTTGGGGAACAGGTTCCCAAAAGCCAGCTAAGCTAAGTACCAGGAACAGGTCCTGATCTGACTGCCAGGAGTCTTACAAAGAGATCAAGCTGCACAACTGTCACACACATGCAAAGGGCCTAGGACAGACAGTCTCATGAAGGCCTCCAGCTCTGGTCAGCTGTCTGTGCCCCCCCCATCATGACCTCCCTGGCTCCTACAATCCCTCCTCCCTTTCTTCAGAGAGACTCCCCAGAGCTCAGCCCAGTGCTTGGCTGTAGATCTCTGCATCTGCTTTACACCTTTATTTTACTCTTTCTGCCAAGTTAAATTATCAGGTATGACTGTTTCCTCAAAAGAGTTTTCCCCTTCAGCAACTGGCTGAGCAAAGTAGCATATTCCATGTAAGCTCTGAGGAACAATAACTGACACTGACTCATTTAAACAAAAAATAGACATTTCAAATTTTGTGGATGCATATTTTGTGGGCCAGATAGATCTGAGATTCCAAAAAGCTAGGAATCTTGCTGTTCCAGATGTCTGTTTCAAGATCCAGATTCCAGTATAAGACTGTCTGACCAGCATCTTGGGCTGTGTATCTCAACTTAATGGAAAGAATTCATTTGGGGGGAAGGGAAAAGGCAGTTGGTTTGGTTTGGTTTTGTTCTGTTTTACTTTAAAAAGTTACTTTCTAATCCCAGCACTCAGGAGCCAGAGGCAGACAGATCTCTGAGTTTGAGGCCAGCCTGGTCTACATAGTGAGTTCCAGGACAGCCAGGGCTATACAAAGAAACCCTGTCTCAAAAAAAAAAAGTTATTATTTGTCTTTCTCTCCCCCTCCAACCCCCATCATTATGTGTGTGTGTTCGAGTAAGTGTGTGTGTGTAGCACACATGTGGACATGAGGGGCTCAGAGGAGAACTTGGTAGAGTCACTTCTCACCTATCGTGAGATCTGGGAGCCTTGGAGCCAAGCTCCTTTACCTGCTAAGCCATCTCACTGGCCCCCAAAAGGCAGGTTTTTGAAAACAGAATCTGGGTCATGCTGGAAGAGGAGGAGGAGGGCTACTATTTCTTTCTGTGCAAAGTTGTGTTTATGGGTTAGTGCCTGGACCCACAGGTAGCACTGCTCAGGCCACTTAAGTAGAGAGCAGGTCATCATTGGCTTTCACAGACACTATCATACTGTTCAGTGCTGGGCATAAACAATCCCACTGGACTGTCTTTAGAAGGTGAACTGTGGGTTCAAAGGTATACCAAGTGGGTTTCTAAGTAGAATTCATATATGTCCTAGAGGATGTTGACAAGTATCCTACTGAATCTTGGAAGTACTAAGTGTTAAGGTGTGGGGAAATGCCTCCTGTATCGTGGTAGTCAGCCCGTGATTTAACATGGTGACACATCCTGACACAATAAGAGACTGCCTGACTCTGTTCTGTCTGTTTTGGATTTGAGACTTCCCGAGAAAATAGACTAGATGTATAGATGTATACATCTTCATTCTTAGTAGGATCAGGTGGTTTATGTTGCTCAAGGTAAGTCTTTTGTCCATCTTCAAAGCCTTTTAGCACATACTGGTTTCTGCTGCTTGCAAACCGATCTGAACTGATGCTAGTGGGCTCTCTCACTATGAGCTGCTTGTACTGAGAAGGTGATGTTGTCTAAAGGTGGTACTCACCTGATATTGTGATGAGGGCAACTTCAGGTGTAGGGCTTGCCAGCTCTGGCCTTAAGTCTGTCTTCGTCAGTATCACCATCTTGCCTTGGATAAGAGTTGGAACTACAGGGACTGTAGTTGGCTGCAGTGGTTAAGAGCACTGGGTGCTCTTCCAGAGAACCCAGATTTGATACCCAGCACCTACATGGCAGCTCACAACTGTAACTCCAGTTCTAGGGGATCTGATGTACTCTCCTCTCTCCACAGGCACTAGCACCTATACACATAAAACAATAGAATAGAGTAGTTGGAACTACGTTTGGAGAAATTATCTGAGTTGCTCAAAACCACCAAAGGCAATAAGGTGACACTCTGCAGTCACCCTCCCTATACCCTCCTCGGGTGCCCAATCTTTGATGTACTTCCGGATGACTTGGAAAGAAACCTGGGATAGGACCCTGCTGTGAAGAGACATCATGACCACAGCAACTCTTGTAAAGAAAGCATTTAACTGAGGTGGCAACTTACCGTTTAGAGATTCAGTTCATTGTCATCATGGCGGGGAGCATGGCTGTGCAGGAAGACATGGTGCTGGCTACATCTTAATCAGAAGGTGACAGGAAGTGAACTGTGACACTGGGCAGCATTTTGAGCACATATGAGACCTCATAGCCCACCTCCATAGTGACACACTTCCTCCATCAAGACCATACCTACTCCAACAAGGCCATACCTCTTAATATCATTCCCTATGAGTTTACGGGAGCCAATACATTCAAATTACCACAGAAGCTGAAGAAATCAATTCTCACCTTTGTTTACAAAAGAAAACTTTTTTTTATTTTTTCGAGACAGGGTTTCTTTGTGTAGCCCTGGCTGTCCTGGAACTCACTCTATAGACCAGGGTTAGCCTCAAAATCACAGAGATCTGCCTGCCTCTGCCTCCAGAGTGCTGGGATCAAAGGTGTGTGCCACCAACACCCGGCTTGTGCCACCAATGCCTGGGTCTGTTTGTTGGTTTAAAGGAAAAACAAAAGTCTATCTTGGGCTTTCTACATATACCTTGGATCTGAAGGGGAATGC